GAGAGAGAGAGAGAGAGAGAGAGAGAGAGAGAGGGGTGGGAGTGTATGGAGGTGAAGGTGTTGTGGGAAAAAGTAATGGTAATGCAAGTAAAATTGACATTCTATGGGAGGGTTTGGAAAGAGGGAAGGGGGGGGGGGTATCATCAGGATCATTCGAGCCAATTGCAAGAATGGGAAAAAGTATTCCAAACAACCAGCCACAGAGAACAATCCGTCAGTGGAAGGGATCTTGACGTTAATCTTTAGAGCACATAATTTGTGACGTGTCAGAGTGAACGGCATTGAAATTTGGATAACAGTTTGCTAAGTTAGACCTGAGCGGTTTTTTAATGTTCTAACAAGGTTTGTGAATGCGATCTGAAGTTCCGAAATGAATAATAGAGTTACAATAAAATATAATTTGTGATACAGCTCACTTCTTAAAGACCTTCTAGTGTCAGTGTGCCAAGATCTATGCCAACAGCCAAGTGGTTCTCAGAAAGTCTCGCTACCATAACTGAAGTCATAGCATCGTATCCAAAAGTCGATTGTTTTAAATTTAAAATCATTTTTGACTTTGATCAAAATAATATCAGTATTCAATTTGTCTGAGGTCTAACCAATAGAACCCTGCAGTTTGCTGTTTTTGTTTTTTCTGCTTCTCAAAATAAATCCTGATATTTAAAAAAAAAGAAAAAAAAAAAAAAAAAAAAAAAAAAAGAATCGAAGAAACCATTGAGTATCATGCAAAAATATAATAAAAGATCGTCCCACTGAAATAAAAAAAATGGAACTGCGGCAAAGCAAAACCGCTGGTACAAATAAAGCGTAAACAGACAGTGACAGCAAGGGAAAAACTGGGGCAAAAGATGGCAGGTTATGTTCCGCTTGAGGTGCTGCTGCTGCAGCGCTGCTGTTTCTGCTGTAGCTGCTGCTGCTACTGCTGATGATGGTGATGATGATGATGATGATGATGATGATGATGATGATGATGATGATGATGATGATGATGATAATGGGAATGTCGATGTGGATGATGATGAAAAGGGTGCTGATAATAATGACGATGATGATGATGATGAAGATGGTACTGTTCCTGTTGAATTATAGTTGACAGCGAGACAGAAAGCAGCCACAAATCACCAGCAACCAAGTTGGAAGAACTGTTCTCTGACGTTGAAAGGAAAATCTAACAGAAACAACACAAAACCAACCACCAACCACCATTCTGATGATGAAGATGACAAAGATGAGGTCTGAGATTATAGTAAACGAAAGTAGAAATGGCAACAACTATAATGGTAGAGGACCCCCCCCCCCTCCCCCCCCCCCCTGAAGAAAACGAAAACAGTTAAAAGAAGGGCAAGAAACGAAACAAATGTAAGATACGAAGCAGCAAGGCGATGAAAAAACAACCCAAGCAACAAAAAACAACAACAACCCCAAAACACTCCCCCCAAAAAAAAACCCAAACAAAACAAACCTCGTTGAAAACGATAACGGTTATAAAAGAGGGCAAGTAACGGGACAGGTGCCATAGAGGAAGCGAGGCGATACGAATGATAAAAAGCACTCGAGGGGCGTGCAGGGAGACACAAGTAGTATAGCGCAATCATGCATGAAAGAAAGACCCACCTACTAACACTGTGACTTTCAAGCTGTCGATTTTTCTGTCGGAGCTACGACAAATGTAGTTGCCGCTGTCACTGAACCCAGCATGCTCTATGGTCAGCTCACTGATCAACGCCACGTCCTGAGTCGACCATGGGTCAGGGAGGACACAGAGAAACAATTTATATTGCAGCCTGCCCTTTTTTTCAGGCAACGCGCAAAAAACAACCTCTAAAAATGTATTACTTTTTTTCTTCGAATGTTGCAACCTACACCAAGGAAAACCTGGATCGAGAGTGTGAAGAATACCCTGAAAACATACATTTCACCAAACCAGGCTATTCAACTTGCTAGAAACAAAAAGCTCTTTCTCCCCTCGACGCCCTGGGGGTACAAGAGGACGGATAAAGCAAAGTAAGTTCCAACCCACGACACACTCTACAGCTATGTTGTTCTCATAGATCTAATTGTAGCCTTATGCTCTTAAAATGAGGGCATTGTCAATTGTGCACGACATACAAAATATACAGCATTGGGTACCTCGAAAGGGCACGAATATAATCCAATGCTACTATGCCACTCTGTACGTAAACAGTGAAAATAAACCGTGTGCCATCCTCCAGAACCAAGGAAGCTAGATGTATGAACACGCCACAAAATAAAAATCTACACCGAAAGTGGCCCTGATTGATTAACGCAATCAAATTTTGGACATATTCAAAATTGTTTAAAAACTGAAACCTGATCCAACTGATAAACTTTAATTAAATGTGCCCCAAAGTGTATTTCAGTCATCTCACTGTGTTCTTCACCTAGATAAGAATCGAACACATGACATTTTGATCGCAAGAACTGAAGCGTAAAGGCTACATCATTCATGCCAAAGGTTCTTGAAGGCCTGCAGATTAGATTCAATCTCTATGGATTCAATACGTTTCTGACATGCCTGCTGTTATGGCTTTCCTTTGTTGATTCCTGTGGCAAGATTGAGTACAACTTTTCAAAACTTTGGAAGGCTATAGCTCGATCTTAGAGGAGGAGCAACGCTGTTCCTTGTTTCTAAAATATTTTCACATACTTTTACTCTCTGAAGGAAGGGAACACTTCCCCGACACTGGAACTGATAACTGATCTACCTGCAGTCTCGTTAGACGGCAATGTCAAACACATACCACGAACCAAAAGTCCGTTGCTGATGCAGTTGACTATGAGTATGAGGCTGAATCGCCCAAGGAAGAAGCATAATATGACGACTTCACTTGATCAAAATCACATGAAAAAAACTGAGATGGGAAAATCATTTGGATATTACAACTATAACTATGTCTGCTGACGAGCACAACAGATAGATAGATAGATAGATAGATGGATAGATAGATAGATAGATAGATAGATAGATAGATAGATAGATAGATAGATAGATAGATAGATAGATAGATAGATAGATAGATAGATAGATAGATAGATAGGTAAACAGAGACATAGCCAGAGAGATACACAAACAATGAGTGTGACAGAGAAAGAGAGAGAGAGAGAGAGAGAGAGAGAGAGAGAGAGAGAGAGAGAGAGAGAGAGAGAGAGAGAGAGAGAGAGAAAGAGAGACAGACAGACAGACAGACAGGCAGACAGACAGACAAACAGACTGAAGGAGGGAGAGAGAGAAAAGGTGTCATACTACCACTAAGGTAAAAAGAGACTGAATAGGTGTAGTCCTTTCCTTGAAGTTATGGACAACTGTACCATATTCCAGTGTCAAAAAGGACAAAAGCACACACAAAGCCCAAAGTATAAAGCTGAGGGCGTCCTTCCAAAAGGGCAACTGATTCATAGCTCTAACCTCTATAGACATGTACTTTGTGAGTACAATTTTGGGATCTCGCGATTTGGTCGAGTCGAGCTTGGTCCCGTCTTTGAACCAGTCAATATCCTCCGGGATTTTGTCCCCTCCAGTGGCGTTGCATACTAACTTGATCCTCTCATTGCTATCTACAAACTCCTCGCCCGTGAGCACCACAGCTGGCAGGGAATAGAGAAAGAGAGAGAAAGATGAGGACATTATCTTATTTATTTTGGTGTTATTATATTTGGTGTTATCATATTAGGTGGCATTATATTTGGCGTTACTTCGAAGACCAATCAACGCCTTAATGGCTGTTTGCGCGCGCGTATGTGTGTGTGTGTGTGGGGGGGGGGGGGTGTATGGGTGTGTGCGCGCGCGCGTTTCTGTGGAAAAAAGCTGGTAGGTTGGTTAAGAAAAGAGGGAGTGGGGGTACAGGGGCTCGCCCAAGCAAAGATATCTGGGTGAGCTAGAGATTGTGAGTTTTTTTAAAATGGGCTTTTCATTTGTTCTTATTGTTGTCAGCTGCAAGGACAATCTTCCATAGGAGTAATACCACATTTATTCGGTTTTCTGACATTATCTGTTCCCATCTTATCTAATAAACGATAACAAAAGCTAGGAAATAGAAGTTTTATTGTTTCAAGAACCAAACTCAAATCAAATGAAGAAAAGCATACCATGAGTGTGAAAGATCGAAGACTTATACATCGATCCATGTATGGCTAAAAAGTTAGGGTTTGAAGTAAAAGAGCTCGGGTCTTCACACTATACGTCATTTGGTTACGTTGGAGGGTATCATCAGACTTTGTAAATGGGATGTCAGCGAAGTGATGAAGCAACCAACAGACAGAGATATGTGGAAAGTGTGCATGACCACCCCAACATCCCATCCTGCTTTACACCCACACCCGGTTTCCAGCACGCTGTCTTCAGATCACATACAGATAGAGTTTGCGTGACCACAACGTTAATGTGATGCCGTTTACTTCCAATCAAAGCGACAACGTCTACGAATTGGTGAAAATATGACCTACTCTTTGAAAGAAGAAGAAGAAACGGAAGAAGAAAAGGAAAAACTAAATGAAGGTGATGCACAACGGATATTGATAATTTGAGTTTGCGTTGACTGCTCTACTGTTTTGTGCTTGTGCAAAATGTAACTTACGGGTGATCTAAGAGAGGGTTTGCACACACCTGATGTACATACATACATTATATATACATACAAGAATACCTCACCCTCCCCCTCCCCAAGCAAAGTGATGAGGAAAAAACAGGGATAAGGAGAATGTAGGGGTGTCTATAGATTAAGATATATATTATAGAGAGGTCATAATTTCGTGGCCCAACTTATTGCCAAATATTTTTTCAACTATCGAACAGACTCTCCAGTTTTTATAAACCGATTTGTCTTAACATCAACATTTTTCTGAACCACTATTAGCTTTACTCTAGAAATTTCCTTAATAAATACTAATAGAAAATCTCAAAGGGTGGTTCCTACAGTTTATAAAAGGTTTACTTTACATCCCATGAGCTGGACAATATCGCTTAAAAAAATGCAAGTCTGTCCTTTGTTCTAAACCTGACACTATGCTTACTGAACGCATGTTTTGAGACTTTTTAGTGCTAAAAAGGTGTTCACTATGAAATTAATTTTTTGTAACAAGTTTAGCCACTAAAGAATGTCATTGGTGAGCAGTGACGTATGCCATACGCGTATGCAAAATGTGTGTGAGAAGTGGGAAGTGCTGAGAACAACCCCATTTTCTGCGTGACGGAGATATGTAGTAGGCCTATTTTATGTAAATTCAGAGAGAAACTTTAAAAAGATAATAGCTTCAATTGTTGAGGAAAAAGACAATTAAGTTAAGACGAATAGATACAAAGTGCTGTGCAAAGTATGCGGGACATTGATTTGCTCGTTGAAGAAATATGAGGACACGTTGCGCCACGAATTTTCGACAGCAATATTATAGCTAGACATAATGCCTCGATATGTGTGTGTATGTGTGTGTGTGTGTGTGTGTGTGTGTGTGTGTGTGTGTGTGTGTGTGC